AATAATTTAGTAAAAACAAATTATTCCTTTATTTTATGTCTACTAATTCCCTTTATAATGTATGTATTTATTCACCCTTAATTTCTAAAATGGACATATTTTAATTTTTAATAAATGTTAATTCAACATACCTTTTTCCTTTAAACTCCCTCTATGCACATGGTTTTGTATAATAATTTACCGCTAGTTACAATTATTTTTAATTTACTTTCTCTACGAGTAACCCTAGTCGTCTCTTCTTTCTTACGTGACAATTCGTTTTTTTACTAGCCCCTCCCGCCTGTTTCACCACTCCACTTCTCTGTTGATCCTTTAAAAACCTATTTTTTCAACTACATTACAAACACACCAAAAAATATTAGCATTTATCCTTTCACTTCATCCAAACTAATTTAAAATAAAAAGTGTTAATTTAGGGATAATACAACTGTACATCCCTACCAACTCCCTCTCGTTTGTACTTACTGATTCGTCCCCTTTAAAACGTTTCCGTACCCCTTGAAGGGTTTGTGATCGTACTCCACTTTTCCCACTAGGGCAAATAACCACTGCGGGGGGGGGACGCATAAAACCTAAAAAAGACCGCTTTCAACCTTTTTTTTTCGCCCACCCAATCCCAAATAAAAGGGGGGGGGACCAGCAGTAATAAAACCTAGTGCAGAGGGGGTTGGGGGTAGAGGAGAAGTCAAGGGACCGGACTGAAAAAATCAGGCGAAAAAAATTTATTTAAATTGACAAAATTGACAATAATTTACAAAAGTGGTTAGAAAATTCTTATTCATGTAGGTAAAAAATACTCAATCTGCAATTTAATCAAAATAAATTAAAGTATAATTTAAAACCTCCAATTTACAAAATAGTTAAAGATTATTATAAACGGTCCTCTTTTAACGATTAAAAAACAAAACTAATTTAACAATATAGTAATTAATTACAACCCTTATCATAACACGAATTTGTTATTAGTAACCATATATTAACTTTTCTCGTAAAATAAAATGTATTAAAAAAATTCCATTTAAAATAAGATATTAAAAAAAATGTTATTAAACATGAATTTAAACGATTCATTTCTTAAAAAACCGCTGTTAGATGTATCTTCATAAAACACAAAGAGATTCGTATATAACTACCATAAGATTAATTACCACAGGGAAACACATGGCATTTAAAATCCCTTCCAAATTTTTTTTCATTGATGGAGGCATCTTTATTCTTCCACCAACTAAGGGGCCCCCCAAAAAACACATCAAAAAGCATTTGGTCTGATTCGAGTGGAAGAAATGTGCCATCCCAACTTTATTTTGCACACGCTTCGCCTTAAACTTGATAGGCAAAACAAAGATGCTTTCCAACACTCGCCAGCTCGTTCTTTTGCTCGAGAACATGAAAAATGTGCGAAATAAAACCACAGTAGTATCACAAAATCAACTGCCATAGACCATTATTCAACCACTGGTGCCACCCATTTAAACCACAAACAGCCACGACAAACGAGCTTAAAAAACAATGTGGCCTCCCCAAATGCTACAAAACTCCGGTCTTGCAACCATATAAAGGTGAATTTGTATAAATTAAAATGGGCGTTGGACACCTAATTTAGAGTTGCGCCAACAACCTCAGATTAATTTAATTTAAAGCCTTAAGCAATTTTTTTGTTTTTCCCTTGTAAGCAACATTCGTTTTTATTGTGTCGATTTTTACAGGGGGAACATTATCATAACTATCCAAGAGATCTCTTCCCTTGCGTAAGGCGGGTCTTGGAAAATATAGGGGTTTGTGGACAAAAAAAGTCTTCGGGGATTGGGGACAAACCAGACCCTTAAACAACAAACCAAGGACCCACAAGTGACTTTAGAAGGGACCTGTTTTTCCCAAATCCTGAGTAAGTTTTATCAAAACTTCCTTTGTCGCTCTCTCTTCCAACCTATAGTTCTTTTCTTCTTCCTTGCTATGAGCTTCCCTTCTCTATTTCATTAACAAAATTTTCCAAAACGTTGCCTTGGCAAATAGGGTGGGTTATTTCATTCCACGGCAGTTGGAGGGAGGGGTTCCCCTCCAAATCGATTAGTTTTTTGCTGAGGGATCTGGTCACGTTAGTATCTCCATTCTTCTGAACCCCCTGAGGGCATGGCCCCTTCAATGGTTGTTGGGCACGCCGCTGGCGGCTTTTCTCTTTTTGTTTCCCCTTGTTCATTTCTCGCTCCAGAGATGCCTCTACCACAATATGTTGGTTGGTGGGGTTTCTGTCGAACTTGTGTTTTTGTGCCGCGGGTTTACTGCTTTTTGGGGTTTCTTTCCCGGTGTCTTGCACCCACCCCTTCCGGGGGCGCGATCCTTCTTTTCTTGACAATGCCTCTGCTTTCTTCCAGGGTCATGCCTGTGGTGGGCTGTTGTGACCCTCATGTTGTTGTTGTCTGTCTTTTCTCTTTTCCCAGGGCATGGGTGATGTTCTTTGGCCCTGCGGTATGTGGTGTTGCTGCAACTGTTACGTGGTTTGTTTGCGGCTTGTTTTGGCTGCCCGGCCGGCGGTCTACGGGGCCCCTGTCCGCGGGGGATTAGGGTGTGAAGATTTTGGCTTCGTTCCTTTGTAAAACACGGTTCACCCAGTTAGCAGGCCAGGTGAGGTTCGTTCCCAGGCAGCGCTGTACCTCGAAATTGGGGGCCTTTTGGGGGTCTTCGAGCCCAATCAGGCCTGTTGGGGGCAAACTTCCGCCGGTTCTTTTGCAACTGTCAGTCACTTCCGGCAGGTCTAACACCACACTGTTTAGAACAGTACAATGGAATTTTCTTAGGTCATTAGGTTGGGTGCTTTAGCTGTTTCCAAGGAGGGTGTTGGAGTGAGTTTTTTGCTCCCTTGGCCCCAAATCCTTAGGCGGGGAACGGGTTTCGGACCAAACGTGTGAGTCTTAGGAACTGTTGGGCCCACGAGGCCAGACCAGGAAATGGTCATAAGGCTGGTGTGAGTGGGTGGTGAGGTGTCGAATTCTGGCCGGGGAATTTGCGTTATTGCGGATGATTTGCGAGTTCGCTATGCGAGCTATTGGACTCGAATAGCGGAGACATTGTAGAGGGTGGGTCCATGTCGGAGCCAAATTTCGCTTGTTGTTGTGTGTGGAGTGGTGCGAAATGCGGGCAAATACCCCAGAGGGTTGGTGCTCGCTGTTTTGTGGATTTCCACCCTGGGCGTCCTGTCCGGGGATGATGGGCCTGGGTGGTGGTGCTCGGAACACTTCCCCTTTAATTCGCGAGCGGAGTGTGGGGGGCCATTGAGCCGACGGCTTTACAGGGGGTTGGTCCTCTGTGAGGGGCTCTCGCCTAGGGGGGGGGGGGGGGGGACTTGGGTGCGCTCTGCGAAAGAGGTTTTTTGGCAGTTCTGATTGCCTGCTGCGAGTTTGACATTCGCGATCCGGGGGAATTAGGGTTTTTGCATTGTGCGAGGTAGATTTCCGTTTTTCTCGGGCCCTTGGCTCATAGGGTGGCGCTCTTGCGGCACACTTTTCCGGTTTTCCCAGCTTCTCTTTTGTTCCTTGGCCTTTGGGGCAACCGCAGGTCGAGTATGTGACAATGCTTGCCAATTTGGACAACTTTACCATAAGATGCTTTGGTTAGTAGGTTGACTGTTATTGGAAAACTGATGGGTATTGGTGGATTAGGATATATGGGGGGGACACCTGTTTGGTTTGGTAGGAAGGTGTGTTAACAAGGCTGGTTGATTTGGAATTAGACGTAAACAACAATTCCATGATCTTCAGGAGGAAGGAGAAGATCCCCAATGGGGTGTTGCTCTTGGTGCTTGCTTTAGTTGTTTTAGTAAGTGGAAAGTAGTTCCACTCAGGTTCCCTTTGGGGGTCATCCTGGAAAACTCCAATGGTCTTTATCTAAGTAGACGAGGATTGAGCCACCCTGATGGTGGGTGGGAAAAAAGAAGTAAGTAAGTCGCAAAGAAGGTCTCTGCAAGGTTCTTGGGGGCTTCCCAAGGGTCTCGGAATAGGCGTTAACCTCGTGAAGTTGTGGTGTAGGGTGGGGGGAAAACCACCCAAGGTGTTTCTAAGGCCTACCCCACGGAGTGCACAAAAACCGTAAATTGCATAGCTCGGGACTTTTAATCATTTGAAAAGGTCCGGGGGACGGCAGTCGAGTAAAAATCACAACATCGTTAGGATGCGTGTTTAACCGTTGCTCCTACTTGGAAAGTTTTTTGAACCTTTCTTTGCTTGGGGCATCATTGTATGGCTTTTTTATCTAATTTAGCTGCCCACCCTTTGGCTTGTTTGTGTTGTTTGTAATGATTCTTTTACCCCTCCCGATGATCAATCCCACTTGGATTAGGGCAAAGGCAAAGAAAGAAAAGGGGGGATAGAGGGGAAAAACAAGCAGATGGTAACGAGGTTTCTGGAGGAAACCAAAACAACTTGGACAGGAATTATGTTGCCCGGTTTTTATCGGGCTTTCATAGGGGGTTTCTTAGTCATTTGATGATATTTTGAAATATTTTTCCTCTTTAAGTTTACAGTTTAGACCTATTTTATTAAAGTTTCTATATTATGCATGATGACGTCTTTATTATATATGTTTTTCTATATAATTGAGATGTCACGCATTGCATGAGAAAGAAGAAGGAAACCAAGGGTGGGAAGACAGTTAAAAAGATGTTAAATATATTTAAATAGTTTCAAAGGAGATACATTGATTTCGTGCACATTTTATAGGGAAATTTACAAAAATATGAGTTTTGGAGTTAACATAGGTCTTCTAGCCATCAAATGTTTTATCCTAAGTTACAAGTTTACAGGGAAATTTACAAAAAGATGAGTTTTTGAGTTAACATTAAAGAAGGTCTTCTAGCCATCAAATGTTTTATTCTAAGTTAACGAAAGAATATAATATCCATTAGTCTGGTTTCTCCATACTACAGGCAATCCATTAATTAACACTACTAGAGTAAAACAAAAAGTATACTGCATTCACAATTATATCAATGCATCACCAACGACATCTCAACACAGAAAAAGCTTCATTAATCTAAAACTCATCCACAAACAGAGTAGCAGGACATCAAACAAACATCATAGGTGCACAATTTTGGTCCAGATACTCGACTTCCACTAATTGCCACAAAGAAAACAAACATAAATGTTTAGTTGAAGTCCTGGGCCAAACCATTGGGAGCTACTCTAGCGCAACCTTCTTGCTTCTCTTTCGGACTCAAGTAGGGTGAGAATGTCTCCTTCTCTCACAGGTCCTTTCACATTCCTCATGATGTGCCTGTTTTGATCATCCAAAAACTTCACTCTAACCTGAGTCACCTGACCTCTAGACCCTGTTCGACCCATAACTTTAACAACAAGGGCGTGCTTCACCTGAGATTCCATCCTGTTCAAACACAGACAACATTTATAATTTATAATGTTTAAAGTACAGATTGTGTACAGTCTTGTTATCATTCCATCTGTACAGAAAAATGTAGAACAACATAGCAGTTTAGACTAAAATTATAGATCTTCAAATACAAAATTCAGTTCAATTTATCCAAAAGTTTGAGTAAGAAGGGACAGATAAATGCATAACTAAAAGCCGTTTAGACTGAAATGAAAAGCTTTTCCCATGATTCATGAAATCAAATGACATAAACAACTAATGATGATGCTTCAGGGGTCGGAATTACAAATGTTTCTAAAAACACTTTTAGGAGCAGCATATAAAAATTCTCATGTATCTTATCTCTAGTACCAGATTTTTTAAACTTTTGCACAGGTAAAAACTTAAAGTTTACTTATTTATTTCTTCTTATCATAAAAAATAAATAAATTATCCTAACATAATTCAGAAGGCAAGATCAAATCACAAATACAATTTAAAAATTGGTTCCTTTCACAAAATATGACCAGAGAATGATATTCTTCTCTTTCATAAAGTGGTTCACAAAATACTGCAAAATCGCAATTACAAAAGCAGAGGATAACAAATATAAGGACAAACAAACACAGCAAGTGAGAAGATTGAAGAAAATATTGAAACGGCGGTGAAAGTACCGGAAATTGGTAGTAGAAAATAGGAGGCAAGAGTGGTGGCGGCTTTCTCTTCTGTGAATCTATCTCTGGCAGAGGACAATAACAACTCAAAACCCTAGTTTATAAAGCTCTTTACAGGGTTTTAAATTTTCTTTTTAATAGACAAAGCTGTAACACTCTTTTTAGAAGTTTTCTTTGATTAAGATTTAGCAGAATATAAGAAATTTTATAATTTCTAACAAATTTAAATACGTTAGATTTCAATTAAATTGTTTATTTTTCAAAATAATTTTGAATATATTAAATTTCATAAACAGAAAAAGAAAATATATTTCACATTAGTTCAAAAATAGTATTTCTTATAATAGCAAAACTAATTTTAACTATGATAATCAAAATAAAATTTAAGAAAATTGTTCTAACTCTAAAGTGTCAAAAATATTTACAAAATAATATATTTCAAAAACATATTCACAAAAGAAAATAACGTAAACAAAATATTAATTATAAAACATTTCATAAACTATATATATATATATATATATATATATATATATATATATATATTAGTAGAAGGTTTTGACCGTACATCAATCAATATATTATTAAAAGATCAAGAGATCTTCTACAACACTTGAATAAAGGGTCGAAACATCCTTAACATCAAATATAAGCAATTTTACCATAAACTTGTAATCAAATAATAAAGAATTAAAGATAACTAATCAATGTATAAAACCACATAACAACACAATGAAAGTTTGTGAAAACTTGTTGAATGAATATATCCATATTAATAACATTATAAATTTTCAAAGTTCTAAGCAAGTTTGCAATAATTATTTTACTGCTCAAAACCTTTATTGATAGAATTCTTTTGCTAGCACGCTTATGCATTTAGAGGCCATGAAGAAACATCAAAGTCAAGTAATATAGATAACTTTCTTAATATGATTAAACTTCTAGCATTATATAATAACAAGGTGACACAAGTTATGTTAGAAAATGTTTTATGTAATGCAAATACTTCTCATCATATTCAAACAGGTATATGCACATTTTTCTAGAAAATTAAGAGGGCATTCATGAAAAAATTGAAATTCTAAATTTGCATAATTCTTGATAAAGCAATGTGATAAATTTAAAAAAAGAGCAAAATGGTTATTGTTGATATTTGTATATAAGGTTGATAATATAAAAGAACAATTTATTTATATTGTGCATGTTAAGGATACAATTGTTGGATAAAAAACAAAAAGGGACCATCCACATGCTGAAAACAAGGGTCAATGTTTCATATACCATATATTGAGGACGAAATGTCTCCACCTTCATTAAAGTTCCTTAAATTGCTCCAATGCCACCAACCATGTTTCTTGTCCTTTCTTCCTTCATCTCATTATAAAATGATGCAAATGTGCAGCAAACATAACTCACCAAGAATCAAACGGTGAAGAAAGAATTCAAGAGGAGAAAAGAGAGAAATCAATGGGTACTACGTGAAGAGAGAAACATCACCGAGAGGTGAAAGACACTGTGTAGTAGAAACTGTAGTGTGCAAAAGGGAGTGCTTTTGTATACCATCCGAGAGGGTGAGATTTATTGAGAGATCCTCAGAGAGTGAATAAACACTGTATCCACTTCATAGTGGAGATAATTTTTCTGGACTAGGTCCGTTGTTTTTTCGAGAGGATTTTTCCACATTAAAATTTCGGTGTTATTTTTCCCTACGCATACACAACTATTTTTAACGCTTCCGCATAGTGTTCATTTTGGGTTAGCAGAGGAGGGAACAAATACCGTTGTTTCCCAACAACAATAACCATCGTCTTTAAAAAAAGGAATTAAGTTTGTTATCTTAAGTGTAATTTTGATGTTTCCAATATTCGCGGTTAAGGGTATGTGATAGTAATTATACAAGAGGAGAATGAAAGGATTTCAAGCTAAGTTATTAACAATATCTTTATGCTTATTGTGTGCATTGTTTTGTTCATACTTGTTTTAGTAGCTTAAAGGGAGGTTATTCTAGTTATAAACTTTTTCAAATTTGACTTTTATTGTAAATGTTATATCTTTCTCTAGTAAACGTCATTAAAGTTTACAAGTTGCTCAATTAGATGAAATAATTGAATTATTCTAAATGGATGAACTTGAAATTGGTAAAGGAATAAACCAAATTGGTACTTTAAAATGAGTTGTGATAACTCGCTGGAACTCACATTTTTATTCCCATTTGTATTAATAGATCAACTTATTCTCAAGTTATAATGTTGATGTTGCAATAATATTTTGTCTTCATTTGACTTCATCAAATTGATTTTACACATGATGAAAGAGATTATGAGAATTTGTCTTTGTTGAAGCTTTGTAGAAATAATATCAAGGTAAATGATATGTAATTGGTTTCTTTCCACTTCAAATTTTGAGAAAGGATGGTTGGCAAAATTTATTGAAAGGTGTGATATTTTTTTGTGAATATAACATTGATATTTCTTAGCACAGTTTAGGGTAGATATATATTTTGTTATAATAGATAAACAACTACAAAAATTAAAATGTTAGTTTAGTGAGCAATCAATGAAATTTTTAACTCAAGTAATTTGATTTCTAAGATGATTTAAAGCTTTTAACATTGATTTATATGCCCTAACTGTGGACAAAATTTATTCTTAATAAATTTTAGTTAAGCAAGAAAATATTAGTTTAAAATTTCAACTTCAACATTTTTTTTGTTGATGCTCCTAACCATCCCAGATTTTGAAGAATTATCAACCATTCTTTAAACTATGACATCTTTGGCAGATAAGAAAGTTAATGAACAATTTTTACTTAATTGATCATATAATTCATCTTATTCTAACTCTTTGTATTTATACAACTACAACAGTAAAATCATTTTCTGTTATGAAGATTATCAAAACAAATTGCAGAATAAAATAAAAGACGAATTTCTTGTTAACAATATGTTATTTACATTAAAAAATAAATTGCTAAAAATTTTATTTTTGATTTCGTTATTGATGAGTTAAGGAATTTGAAGGAAGGAAAATCTTTAGATATATGTTATTTCTTTTTATAGTTATAGGTAAAAATAAATTTTGTACTCATTTATTATATTAGTAATAATATTTAAATATATAAATTTTGAGTGTATTATTTTAAATCTCCTAAAATTATTGGTTAAGATTGTCACCAATATAAAGTGTGATAAAAATATCACATAATTGCCCTCTAATCAAGGGTAACATCTTTCTATGTTTACCATGTATAAACTTTCTTTTTTATGAACACAACATTGTTCTTGCAAAACTATTAGAGCACATAAAAAAGTTTGACAACATTTTAGAAGTTGAAAATAGAGGCTCTTCGCTTTTTTCTATTATTCAAAGGAATGAAATATGAAGAAGAAGTCATTACAAATCTAGGTTTTTTGAAAAAACCAATGAACATTTCAAACCTCACTTAATGTTTTCCTTGCATCTAATTACCTTGGACTAGAAAAATGTGTTCATACATACATTAAATTCTTTTTATTTCTTTAAGCAACATCACATACCTAGATGTATCATTTCTTATAAGACAAAATGTATTACTTAAAATTGTATAATGCACACAGATAATATATAATGTATGATAATATATATATATATATATATATATATATATACTATATATATATTATATGATATATATATATATATTGATGTATCTTCTATATATATAAGAAGATAAAATTTCAGTTGTAAAATATAAAGATAATAATAAAATATAAACTCATTTAATTCTCGATAAAATATCTCCAAGCTTACAAAATTGATTAATTAAATAAAAAAAACTTATATAAGACTTAATTTCAATTCTTATATCTATAGATTTTGGATTGATAGCACGTAAAGATAATAATAAAATATATGTTTTCTTTTAATTTTTTTTCCTAAAATGTCTCATATATTGTAAATTTTTCTAATTAAATTATTATTATTTATATAAAACTTAGACTCAAGTCTGTTTATTTTGATAGTATTAGATCAAATCTGACAAAACCAAAAGGTTTAAAGGTTCGGAGGTCCCTATATTTGCGGGTTCGTTTCACTTGGGTACCTCCAATTTTAGAAGTGATCAATTAGGTTCCTAATTTAACAAAATTGAGTCAATAATGCTGAGGAATCTGAATGCAGGGTATTATTGACTCAATTTTGTTAAATTAGGAACCTAATTGATCATTTCTAAAATTGGAGAACCCAAGTGAAACGAACCCGCAAATATAGGAACCTCCGAACCTATTAAACCAAACCAAAACGGTAGTACAACTACCTTTTCAATAAAACTTATATAAATAATTTTAAAAGTTTTATTTTATCCACCAAACAAGTCATTATTACTCATTTTCATGATTTATATAGAAATAATAACTGTGGGATATGAAAATATTCTGCTACTAGACAAACATAAAAAAGGGCCCTTCAATACAATATTCACCCACAAATTTCCTAATTTTCTTCTACTATCATTAATATGATTAATAACATAAAAACATGTTTACATTTTTACAAGGATTAAAATGATAAAAATAGTTTTAATGTATTATTTTTAATTTTTTAAGAGACAAAAAACATAATTTATCTATCTGTCATGATATATATATATATATATATAATATTATGTAAACATATTTTCAACAAATTCTTCATTTATGGTTGATACCCAAATTCAAAAGGGTTGATTTTTTTTAAATCACCTTAAAATAATCTTATGTTACTTCTATGCATTAACAATATTAAGTTAGTTTTAAAAATATAATTTTAAATGTATTATTTATATCTTATATAAAGCGATAAACGACTTAATAATTTTCTTTTGGTCTTAAATTCTGTTAGACATTTTTACTATGTAATAAATAATTTTTATTTTATTTGTTTATTTGATCAAATAATTAATTAAATATTTTTTTAAATCAAAATAGTTAAACAATTTTTTAGAAATAGTTTATATATGGCATTTTAGTACTACTCTTACACAATTGTATTATATATACATATATATTATGTATTTATAAATTGTATTTTTTTAATTAATTACTCATTAAAAATAGTAAATTTATACAAATAATAAGATTATTAAATTGTATATATTTTTAAAATTATATTCTTTTAATTTGATGAAAAAATGGCTTAGT